TTTGTGGGGCTTTTTTACTGAAAATTTTTCTCAGAGGCACTTCATTTGAAAACAGAATTACGTTTCATTATTCCGCTTGCCCATTCAATTGAGATTGTACTGTATTTTTCTGAATAAGCAGGGATAGTAAATTTATATATCCCAAATTCAATAAAGATTTAAATTTAATTTAATACAGACAGACTAACATTCAAAATCGAGGCATCGCGAAGCGACCTAGCTCCGAAGCCGAGTGAAGCGAGACGAGGCCGCTAGTGTACATTAAATGTAAAAGGTACTAACTTCGTTTTTTTTTCTTCGTCGGGGTTCAAATTTTTTTAATTTCAAAACAGATTCTGTTTTTATGTTTAACCCTCAACTGCATGAGCTCGCCTTTTGGCGGGCTATACAAAATTAGCTATAAAATATAAACCCGACGCTACAAATCCACATGCCTGGTATCGTTTGATTCGTATGTTCGTACGCTATCGTGTGATACATACTTGATCAGTGTTAGTCGTGCGGGTAGTGAGCTTGGGTCGTTTGAGTGGCTCGGAAAAGCGGTTTTTCCCAAATTAATTATTTTGTTTGAGTAACGCCAACGCCGGTGAATGAGATACCCTCTTTTTGTTATTTCCTGGCGCCGGGAATTTTTTTATGTTTATCATTGCAGTTTTTTCCCCACGAATCAACCAAAATTTCCCAGAATTTTCCATTTTCACGTGGGTTTTGCCCTCATTTTAAAAAAGAAAGACGTATTTTTTCCAAAGATTGAAAATATTTAGAACTTGAATTGCAGTGCATCAAAATAAACCAGGAAAAAAATTCCCATCTCTGGGAAAAATTCATGCAGTTGAGGGTTAATCATTATGTGTGAATAGCTACAAATTTAGATTAAAACGTTATCACCAAATTGGTGACACCAATACGATATACATTATGATGTATCCTGAAGTGTATTGGTTAGTGTGGTTGCATTGAATTTAATACAAAAGTTTTGCTAATATTTGGTGACCTGAACTTTATTGTACTGTGTATGCTATCTATCTATTCCATCCAATCATTGTAATATTGTTCATTGAATGAGTCTCCTTCGTAGATTCTAACAGACTCTACGCGTAGCGTACTCTTTCTTGTTTTTTTTTTTTATCAAATTCAAAATATCGACCAAAATGAGCAAGTTTGGATGTCTAACCTGATATTCGTTCATTTTGTGTTCAAAACCATTTTTGCTCGAATTTCATTCGTTTTTCGGTCGAGCTGTGGTAATTACAAATAGCAAACAACAAAACGGTTCGATCATTATTGCGCTAGTTTGGACATATTCCCATTGAAACATACATTGGTCGATTGAAGCACACATTTCTGAGCTTAAAATTGATTTTTTCCGCGATAATGGGGTAATGCGTCGGTTCAATATTTCATACCTTTTCCGCCGATGATAAAGGGAATATAAAGTTAGACAAGCATTCAAATTGAATTTTGGAACCAGAAATCCCATAAAAAAACACTCACACAAAAAAGGGAAGATCGAATGAAAAAAGAACAGCAAGCTAAAAAAAAGAGTGGAAGATGGAAACGTCATTGTGGGTTTTGCACCGTTTTCATGCCGATTTATTTCTGCCAGAGTTTGACTGATTCGGTAAATACGGGTTGAATAGAAAATTCGACAACCTCAGAATAAAGGTATGAAATACTTGCTACATCATACAAAACCATAAAGAAGCTTAACAACAAGAATTTGACGAGAGAAAAAAAAAATTTAGTGAAAAGATACATCATCATCATCGATGTGTAAAAGAGAAATGTGTATATGGCCTGACTATAAGTGTCCATCAATTTATTTACATGCGGCTGACTCGTTTCGCCTCTCCGGTTCGCTTTGATTTCGCACGACCGAGTTGCATTTACGTGTGTGTTGTTGTTGTCCTTTTTATGCTGAGTTTGTCTCGCGCGACGTGCGATTAAGAAAAAGAGATCCATTTACGAAATGCGAACGAGCATCAATAATTTAAACAAAACCGCACGCACGTACATAATATTCGCAATGTAAAGGCGAAGTGAGTGGCGGCGATGGCATCAAATAATAATCGGTTGAAAAATCAAATGGAATATGGTTTTTATACAAAAATGAACTTTACGACATTCAAAGTGAAAAATTATCACATTCGGAAAATCCGGACTGTTTGCGAACGAGAAAGAAGAGTCGTGAATGAGTGAGTGAGCAAGACAGAGAGAGAGAGAGAGAGAGAGAGAGAGAGAGGCAGAGAAAACACACACACAACATATGCCACAATTTGTACTCAATAACTGGGGACCTAGATAATAATCGGCCATGAAAATCGCTTGCGTATGCATCAACACATTGAATACGATTGTGTTTGCTTTACGTTGCTCGCTCGTTCTTGCTCCCATTTTTATTCTACTTTTTCTAAATCTCTCCCATTCTCTTTCAAATGAAGAAAGTAAATCTTGCTAACTCTCACTCGCTCGCTCTTTTCAATCCTGGACTTTACCTTTATCAAATCTATCCGCCCCAATTAATCTGGTTGTTCGGTCGTTGTTTGCACAATAAACAAACTCTACTACGTCTTCTTGATTGAGAGCGAACAAAGAAGTACTCACACACTCACACACAGAACAAAAAAATTGAAAACTTTTTTGCTCACGTGAAAGCAATTCAAATCGCAAGTTTGGTTTTGTCTAAATTTTATTTTTTCCCTTTTCAAATTGGAAACATGTCACGTCTTTATATTGTGCATTGGTTTCGTTAAACTTTGGCGAAGTAAATACAGCGCGCGCGCATGCACGCACATACAAAATTATGAGGATTATAGTAAATTTTCGGCAGAAGATATGAAGCCAAATATTAACATAAAACTGTGAATGCTCTATGTTATTGAGTCTACCGATTTTTTTTCTTCTGTACTCTGTTTATTTGTTCGAATGAACGAAAAAGAACAAGCGTTTTATGTTCGTAAATACGATTTGTTGCCCATATGATACACGTATGGTATGTACGCGCACAAACACGCAAATTTCCATTCAATAACCAAACACGGCCAAACCATAAATACATACCGAAGATATAAAAAAAACCCAAAATGGCAATAGCTACAATAATGATGAGAGAGGGACGGAGAAAGAGAGAGAAAAGGTTTCTGACTGTACAACACAGTATACAATACTCACCAATATCCCAGTCGATGTCGTTGTCGATTTGGCTTTTTTCTGCGATTACATACCAAATACAGGCGAGCCAATGTGCAACAAGTGAAAAGCAAAGCATCAACAGTGTCAGAATCATGGCAGCGTATTGGGAATATCGATCCATTTTTTGTAACAGTCGCGCCAACCGTAGCAAACGCGTCATTTTCAACAAGTGTATATGCGATTCTTGCTAAAATGCCGAGCGGCCCGAAGAGAAGAAGAAAAAAAAAAGAGAAGAAAGAAAAACACAAACCAATCTCAATTGATAGGAATAATATTAGAAAGGCATAAAACATCCAACGGAATCCTATTATCTATCGGTAGCAATCGAGAAAAAATAGAAACATTTTCCAAGCTATTTACATACAACGAACAATTTTCCGGAAGAAAATGGAACGTTGCTCTATTCGAGCGTATTCATTATTCTTTAACAAGAATCGGTCTTTCAAAATATAAATAAAAACAACAACATAAATGGGCCAAAGGGACTCTTTAATCCGTTGAACATAGGCGACACACTGATCAAAAAGGTCGAAAGTCGTTCCAGCTCTTACCTCACCGCTATACAAGTCACTAGCATACAGATGATCAAATGGAAGCGCCGCCAACAAATCGACTACAAACCATCCGCGCAAATAGTTCAGAGCAATAGCTTTTGAATCCGATACAACTTCGCCTTTGCACGACACGAACGTTGTCCGGAAATTTAATAAAATATCTGCAATGAAAAGAAAAGAAAAAAAAGCAGGATGAAAACGATTATCGATTGATTTTTTTTTGTTCAATTTTTGATGGGTATTATTTTCATTATGACAACAATTTGTATGAAGAAAGCCTGGCAGCTGTTTTATACAGAAAAAAACTGAATACACAAAAAACAATGCTGAGAAACGTTAGACAATGCAGCGTAGTTTTCCTTGCTGTGGAAGACCCTTGGGAAGTTTGACATAGCGTAATGGAGAAAATGTCAAATTATTTCGTACTTTGACTGTTGATCGCATTTAAGAAATTTTTCTGGTTCCCAAGTGAAATATCATTGTGGTGTGACACATACACAAACAACTCACATATCTTTGCTGTGTGTCTCGTTGTTGTTTTTTGCCAGCGGTTTTCTGCTAATTACTTTCGGGTAACAAAGCATTTAGCATGTTTGAAGTGGCAACTCGTTGAAATTCATTATTGAGCCCCGAGAACCGTGAAGGTGTGAAGTAAAAGAGAAAGGATGTTAGCGGCAAAGGCATCTGTGGAGAATTTTCGTACTGGTTTGCCGATAACACCACTTGTGTCGAACAAGTCTTGTGCACACACACATACACACACACTTAAGTGTAATTTCAGGACTTTTTCAGTCATAATCATTTTTATTTCGGGTTCATAGAACTTACCAAACATTCTATTCCATGAAATGAGTGAAAAGGTCGTTGCCTGGTATATTAACCGAACATCGACCATATTGTTGTTGTATTTTGCAAATATTCAAATGAAGGAAAAAAACCCAACCGGCTTATGTCAAAATCGAACTGTACTGCTTAAGTTTTAAATTGGAAAATAAGACGATTTTAAGACTTGTTTATCCTTGACTTGTTTCAATTGGACGTAGAATGAAAACTTGCTTGTATTTTTTTTTATTGTATGTTAGAAGAGCTTTGTCGAAAATCGTCTTATAAAAAAATGATGAAGATTAAATTGCTTTTAATCGCGTATATTTTAGCGAATTGAAAAAGCCTCATCTAAAAATAAATGAAAATCTTTAATGCTTGGGCTAATGATTGTCTCGAACTAAAAATAGTAAACCAAGAAAAATAAAAAAAGCAAAAATCGCTGGTTTGCCTTGGTTATAAATCTATGTTTATGTTAAAACCTTTATGATTACATGAAAAAGGATGGTATAAAATATTGAAAATAAAAACGAACCATCTATTCAAACGAAAAAGCGAGCAAAAAATGGTCGTTGGGTGTAATTGGTTCGATTAATAAAATAATCGACGACAGTGGTGTTTGCATTAAAAAAAGAAAAAAAAGGGAAAAAAGGGTTCTTTGACGAAAAAGAAGTGAAAAGTTGATCGTTCAACCAATTCCCAACAATCGCATGGTGTCAATCCCAATTCAACGTTTCTTTGCGACCGAAGTGCCTTCTAAATCAAATAAATTAAATTTATTTCGACTTTTCGACCAACCAAAAGCAAGAACAACAGGACGCAAAATTGGCTACAAAATCGATCTAGCACTCGAAATAGAAAAGGAGAGAAAAACGGAACACAAAAAACAAACACAAAAATAAACCGCATTCACTTGGCCAATGGGCAAATTATTATCAGTTTGTTTAGGCTCTTTAGAAAAATTACTGTATACTTTGCACAAAAACATGTACAAATACGAACACAGGCTCGTTGAAAAACACAAACAAAAAGCGAAAATAGAAACAATTGATAATAAACGATACGATGAGAGGTGTATGTGTGTGAGAGAGAGAGAGGCAGAGAGCTGTATGCGTGGATATGCTGGTCGTACGCATAAATGCTTCGGGCCAAGCGACGGACGACATACAGACAACACACACACACACACACACACACTAACCAAACGAAACAGAGTGATGAAAAGGGTAGAACATAATGTCATGAAATAGAAAATGTCTTACATTACCTACGATAAATAAGGCTTCTACCATAACATCTGATGGCATAGTTAGACGATTCGTCGTCACAAAAGCAGCGTTGTATGGTACAGCAACAGCCACATAAAACGTAGCTACCAGAATAAGCCAATCCCAACAACCTTTGAATACTCCATAATGTGATAAAATGAAGCGTGATTTTTTCAACGCTTGTGTTTTATATTCGGGCAACGGGGCATCCGTTGAATGCAACAGATTCTAGAGATGATAAAGAAAGATCATGGTTAAATAAAAACATATTTTCGAAGAAAGGAACTAAAGAAAGAAGGGGGAAGAGAGAAACAAAAATTGATATTTGCTGATGTGGTTTGTGGGGGGCTTTGTTACTGTACTGTTCATCGGGATCTATGAGAATGCTGGCGACAACAACAACAACCCCATTCAACATACCACATCATATTATCCTATTAAACACATCATATAACACATCTTACATTATTCAATTTCAATTTGGTTTTTATCTTTTCCGGTTTGTAGTGGCCGGACAGTTGATAGAGAACAGCTCTCGATCGCCTTCGTCCCATATTAACACCAGCAGGTACTTCAAAATTCGGATTGCATCCATCCTCACCACCGGATGCACCCAACAATCCTGAATCATTCGACCTAAACCGCGCACCGAGCAATGCGGCTGAGAGTGCAAACACTTTTTTATGTTTAATTTAAAATTAGAATAGAAATGGCCGTGTCAATTTCACTTCGTTTATTCGGATGTATTTTGATAAAATATTTAGCTGTATTTTTGGCTTCCAAAGATTAAAATTGTTATGCAATTGTTTTTTTGTTACATCTTCTGGTTGTCCACTCAAATCAATACTAGCTCCCAACTCAATACTAAAAGCAACTGGAATATGCAATAGCTAAAATCTACGAAGAAGGATGGGATAGATATGGAAGTGTATGGTATTTTTGAGAGTAGAACTACATTAGATCCCAAAGCATCGAAAAAATCATAGAAATATCCAACCTGACTCATCCGATGCCGTAGTATGCATCACAGTTCATTAGATAATGAGCCAAATAGTGGGAATCGATTAAGCTAAAGAACTTTAAAGTAAATATTTTCAGGCATGTGTAGGAACATGTCTATGATTTCGGTGTCGATGCTCGCAAATATTTTATCAAATACAAATGAATAAAATGTGTGACAGCAAGTGCAAATTTTAATTTGAGCGCCGCGCTATCGAGAAACAGAACTAAAATCAGCATGTAATCTCATTCATCTGGTGAACCAGTTATGCTGATTTTGCTATTACATAGCGCACGCGCTTCCATTTTACTGTCATCCATTGAAAGAACATCTAATCTAATTCAAATGAACAAAAATTACTGTCTAACGAAAGTTGCAGAAAAAATACTTTAATTTCAAACTAAAAGAAATTGAAAGAAACTCACAAGTCAGCGACTGAAGAAATTTTCGTTTGAAAAGAAAATGCACTTGTTTGTAATGATTGTTCAACACAAAAACGGCATGGTAATTTCAAATGCTTCACTGTAAGTAACTAAAATGAAACTTACGTTTCTTCGAGTGAAATGGATTTCTTTTGTCTATGGTATGCAAGATTGGACGTTTTTTCAAGATCAAAGCTGGAAAATATCAACGACGCATTTAGTCCATGGTACCATTTAGCAGGAATCAATGGCACAAAGCGTCATTTAATTGATGTTCTCCAATACATTTCGATTTGCAGCACGTCAAAGTCCAACCGAGTCTCTTTTTTTCTACAATCGAGATATTCTCGATACAAAACGGTACGATCCATACAAAATGGATATGCATTCATTTGATATTTTGATAGACAGAGGCTATTTGTACAATAACAAAGGTCTGAAATCCTTGAAAAAAAATGCAATGACGGCTTGGAATGTGTGTGTATGTCGGTGGGTGGTTTTAAGTGAAATCGTTCAAAAAACATCAAATGAAATAGTTCTCTGTCTTTGGTGTGTTAAAAACGTTTAAGCGTAAAGAGATAACAAGAAATGCCGTTTGTCATATTGTTAAATGTTAACCAATCCCACGCAACATGCAGATACAATATTCCAAGTGGAGAGAAAATTGCATTTTAATTTCATTTTGGTCGACAATTCAAACGGTTAGACATTGGAAAAGCAAAAAGTATACATTCACGTATATGTTTCAAAAAGAAAATGAAAATGTTTCTGGATTTGAGTTGAGATGAATTCCATCATTTTTTTTTGCATATAGAAAAAGATGCCTAAAGGGGAAGAAAATGTCATATCTACAGCGAATTTCGTAGAGGGAATAAAAACATTCCGATATGTATATCTAATGTGCAACTTTCGTATACTCATTCCGAAACAGAAACGAAAGAAGAAAAAAAAGTTGGGAGAATTGGCGCTTGCTTAACAAATACTTACCACTATCACATTCGTCCGATATTGACATTTCTGACATTTTTGTGTGGGTGATGTCTTTGTGTGAGGCCAAGAAGAGCACCACTTCGCGTTTTTCATTTTTGATCGGCACAATATCCAATAGACACCAAAATGGAGTACCTTCAAATTGTCCCAAATAAGATACAAGATGTAGTAACAGTGAATGGAAAACGTGATGAAAAGAAAAACAATGGTGATAAATCTAGACATGGAGAGATATGACAGCTTCAGAAGTGAATCATTAGTTGCAGCTAGAGCAATTGCTGAGCTTTGTTATGGAAAATGCGAAGAGTGTGTGTGTGCGACTTTCAATCGAGAGCAAGTGAGTGGTTGATTATTCTGGAATATCGTAATCGTTGTTTTCGTCAGTTTTCACCGTATTATCGGCAGCTATGCCAGATTTCTCTCTCCGTCTTCCTCTCTCTTCCCTTCCAGCTCTTCCAATCGTTCTTTTCGCCAATCGTTTCACATTTTCATTCTATTCCTCTCTCCGTGCGTGCCTTTCATTTCGTTTTCTATCTTTTTTATCGTCTTACTCGTAGTAAAGTTCACGTTCTCTCCTCATGAACGTGATTGATTTGAATGTACTTGTTGCTTGATGAGAGGCTCATTATGATTTTTGATCGCTTTTTGCTGTTTTTTACAGTTTGATTTCGCATTTTGATTCGCGATTTTCCTTCTCTCCATCGTCGTATAGAATAATACATTACCCCCTCCCCCCCGTACTATTTTCCAGATTTTCCCGTGTTACTTGAGTGTTTTTATTCAAGCGAATCAACTTTACTCACTCGAAAATGTGATGCATAACAAAGAATGAAATTGCTTTGATTGTGACAGAAGAAAACTGGTGAAGTACATTTGCTTACAAGGCAGCCATCATTAATGGTATCCATTAAAAACATTCAGTGCGCTGTTCACTGTGTTGCCAGCAAAAGTACGACGAGGCCCAGGCTGTGACACGAAAACGTTCCCTATTCTATTTTGCCTATTGCGGATGATGGAGTTTCATTCAGATTCTCATTTGGAAGAGAAAAAATTAAATAAAAGTTCGTGAGATGGAGAGTGCGAATATAGACAGTCGATGTGCATTTATCATTGAATGATGGAAACGGAAATCAGTAAGTAAATGACATATCAAAAAGAGGCCATCAATTTGAAGATGTCATTAGGTACGTACGCTGGATACACAGGTATGGACCGATTTTATGTAACCGCACACGCGTTACGTGACAAACAGCACGCTCATCATAACAACATTTTATTGAAGAAAATGACAATGCCTGTTAGCCGGACGAATAATATTTTGACACTTGACACCAGCGCCGCATATAGTAAAAAGTTGAACTAAAAATAACACACAAACTCCTATATCGGTCACAGTGTATACTGTTTGCAGTTGCAACTACCGTGGCGCACTCTTTCGTTGCTAGCAGGCATTGGAAAATGAAATCGAGCGAATTCAAATGGATACAACATGACGCACGCACATCAGAATGATTTGCTCATAATTGCAAACAAGTATGAATATCATTTTGAAACTTCGAATGAAGCAAACTATTTTTCAAATGAGCAATTTTACTGGAAATTTAGTTAAAGCTATTAAAATCTGCTTGGAGTTTGATTCAGAGCACTTGATTTGCTTTATTCATCGAATTAACTGTACAAAACCGTATGCGAACTAGCACATTTATTTCCGAAAGTGGAATTCCTTTCACAGTTTAAATACATAAATATGCGCACGCTGATGAAATTCGCTCTATCTAATTCTATGCATCTAGTTCAAGTTTCACGTCTCGACGGGATATTCAACGGGTTTCAATAGCACGGTGAACGAATTTGCAATCAAAGGAATTGCAATAAAGAAACGTTGAGATGAGGTTCTTTTATAGTTGGCATCTTCTGTTTTTCACTTCATTTTTCTTAGTCGCTCTCTATCTCTTCATTGTCCCAAGTGTTTAGCAACCGATTGATGTTTATTTTCCATTTTCTGCTCTATTCATCGCGGGCACACTCTCACTGGGACGTCTTCTTTTCTTCTTCTTTTCCTTCGTATCATCATCATAATCAAAAACATCAACTTACCGTTCTTTTTATAAAATATCACTTCTAATTTCAGTTCAATTTTTCCATCTAAACTCTTTTCAATTTGTGATTTGTGATCATCCTTAGTTTCGGGCCCGTACAGGAAGCGGCACGCACATCCTTTTTGTGTGTGAAAATTTACACACGAACAAGCGAGTAAAGAAAAATAAACGGAATTAATAAAAGCGAGAGAAAAAAATGGTCTTATATTATGGGGGAAAAAAAAATTGAGTAAAAAAAAATTGATTGAGCCAAAAGGGAGGAGAAAAGAAAAACACTAAACTAATCTTGTAGCATATAATATATGCCTAAACGGCGAACTGAAGATTCTTTGATGCCAGCTGTTCCTTTTTTTCTCCATGGTATTATAAATGAACAAAATGTTCGAACAAATAGATTTCAATATTCGGCGAGCATGGCAATTTGAGAGGCAACTCATGGAAGTAATTTATTGTCGCATATTTTATGGCAAATTGTCGAGTGTGTGTGACTTAAGTCGCCCTCAGGACATGAATAACAGAAGAAAAAACTTATTCATGCATCAAAAGCCTGTTTTTTTTGTTGTTATTTTGCGGCATAAACAACTTGTTCAATAAGATTTGATTTGCATCATTTTGTTCAGCTCAATCAATAATCGAAGAGTTCAAAATCTAATCATGACCGAGTGTGTAGGAGAAACAAAAATCCGGGCAAAACTCAACGGATGGATCGAAGAAAATACTTTGAAATCAGAAAGTTGTTTGTTGTTCTATTTACCTTTTTGCATAATTTGGGCTCGGCTAAAGCCCGAAAGCTCAACGAATCCATCGGAGCAGTAGACGATTGGATAGCCGGACACTTGCGCATTTCCAAGAACAAAATTTGAATCTGCAAAAAAAAAGAAAATCGAGAGGAAAAATGAGTATCAAGCAAAGCAAAAGCCATCATCGAAAAACAGAACATCTCGTCAAAAATGAGAGTGCTTGTATACAGTAGGCAAAATGAGTTATATCTAATAATAAGCCTGAAATGTGCCAACCGGATCATAGCTAATAGAAAATTACTGACAGAAAAAAAAGAAGAAAAGGCAAAAAAACATTGTATATATGCACACTGTGCATTCGTTAGGTATCCTGTACGTAACGATATGCGCCCAAATTACCCGTAAATTGTCATTATGTATCATTTATTTGGCTTCGAAGCAGAACGTAGACCAGAAAGAGATAGTTAGAGAGAGAGAGAGAGAGAGAGAGAGAGAGAGAGAGAGAAGTTTTCATTTAGCTATGGACCTGTTGGCATGTGTTGTTTTTGGCGCACCGGAAATCAAAAGACAAGACAACTGACAACTATTACTAATCATTTGAACCGAGTCGGAATGGGCGTGAGTGGACGACAACTTTCACAACAACGATGACTACTTGATTAAATCCTGAATTGAATTCGAATCGTTGAATCAAATCATAATTATTTGTCAGGTATTTTATGTCGACACGAATCGAGTGTAATGGATTTCATTCCAAGAATTCACGCCAAACAGCGTGCTATTCGATACACAAAATCACCTCAAAACTATTAATGATTTGATTATTTGTTAGAATAACTTTTATCTACTGTTTGGCCAGAACACTGAAAATGCGAACTAATTAACATCGATTATTGTGAGTGAAGGTGTTCTGGTGTAATTAACTTTCTTTTGTTCGAAAACCGCAATGTGGCACAAAAATCACTAATCCATAATTGAATTCAGCACAACGGAATCTCACGACAAAATGCGTATAATCAAACGGGATGGCGGCAAACAACAGCCACCATCTATTGAGTTAGTAAATTACAAGGAATGTACATTGGTTTCATCATGTTGCATCGAAACACATGACCAACAAATGTATGGCATCACCATGTGCACTCACACATTCGCAGTGTGTGTGTGTGTGTGTGTGTGTGTGTGAAAGCATTCAGTGTAGCAAATTCCCAGATCTGTCGTCTTTTTCTTCATCGTCCACAACTATGCATCTGCTTGGTTTCCGTTTGTTGAACCAAACCAACTCGTTTTTCATCAGCACCTCCGTTCTCCACCATCACCGCCAAAACTATTTCGTTACGATACAGATAATTCAATCTCTACTTTTAACTTGATAATCCCGAATTAGGTCGTCATCTTGGAAATGAATTGACTGCGTTATATTCGGTCGAATGGGAATATTTGCGTAAGCAAATCGATCAAATAACCCGAGCTTATTTTCGGATATAACTTAATAATTCGAGATCATTCAGTGTAATCGAAACTCCTCTTTTGCACACAAACGAATTCAAGCGCATTTTATTCAAACCAAATAAATAGAATGAAAGAGAAAGAAATAAAACGAATTACATACGTAATCCAAACTTTTCCGCTCCGCAGCAATTTAGTTTACCTCCCGCTTAATGTTTAACCAAAATTTCAATAGACCCTTTTTTCATAGCATTTTTGACCTTAAAATATAACTATTTCGACCATTTTCCATACAAAAGTGTCATTTTCGAACAAAATTTCAAAAATTTCAAAAAATGTTGATTTCGGACCAAATTTATGGGCAAGTAGGTATTCAGTTGTTCGAAGGCTCCCATTATTTTTGCAAAAAAATATCAGTTTGCTTTGACCAAAACCCTAAAAAGTGGCTTTCTGAGTGATTTTTTATACAAAAGTCTATTTTTCGAGGAAAATTTCAAGAAATGTCGATTTTGGACCAAATTTATGGGCAAGTAGGTGTTCGGTTGTTCACAGACTCCCATTATTTTTGCAAAAAAATGGCAGTTTGCCTTGATCGAAATCCTGAAAAATGTTTTTTTCGGGTACTTCCCGTACAAAAGTGTCATTTTTCAAGGTTTTTCAGGTCCTCAGTCGGAGGCTTATGGTACGAAATTGGTAAATCAGAATGGGCTCAAAATCAATCCGAAGCTTTGTCTCGACATTCCAAAACTTTTGGCTCTTACAGATCTCAATTATCTTGTCAACTTTTTGAGATAATCGGCGAACAAAAAACGCGAACGCGGACGACGCCATACGAACATCGCTATTTTACACATTTTTCATAGTGAACAACGTATTTTTGGAGGCAGATGGATCTTAATCGATAGGATTTGTTCCCATCTACTTTGCCTAGTGTACACATATGTGCTTTTTGAAGTTTGGCGTGACGTTATAGTGGTCCGAAAGAGGAGATGTCATGAAATTTTGGCTAGTAAAACCAATACAAACAAAGTTTGCGGAAAAGTAAAATGCCAGTATACAGATGCATTACGGGCAAATTGCAGGAGTTTTCATTTCGTTCGTCCACTGGAAAAAATTGCAATGGGGATTAAGTAACAAACATGCATGTGTGTGTGTGTGTTTGCGCGTATAAAATCTGGGTCAACGTTGGGGCACACTTTAACAATTTCATTCCGTCAATTAGTGTGACGATAGTGCGCGCTATTTTCTTATTCACCGAAAGCGCTTTCGTATTGTATCGAGCGAACGAGATAGAGATAGAGAGAGAGAGAGAGAGAGAGAGAGAGCGTGAGGGAGGGAGGGAGGTAAAGGGAGAGAGAGCGCACAATTTCGAACCGAAAGTAAATACAAAATGAAATGGTGGAAAAGAGCCAAATGTTTCAACATAAAATGAAATACGTAAACTCGATGCGAGTTTAAGCATGAGTTCTCTCAAATACGATTCACTTTGCGGTAACTCATTCATTGAATTACATCAGCTCTGAATTACATATGGTTTGTTGTGTGCTGGGGATCCGACAGCTTTACGAATTGATATAAATGGTTTCAAGTCAACTTTGCGCTCTCTCTCTCTCTCTCTCTCTCTCTCTCTCTCTCTCTCTCTCTGGGTGCTGTGTATTTATTCCCTTTTTTAATTATATTAATGCATTCATCCATTTTTGCATGGTCGCATCGGAGTGTCCGACTAAAGAAACCCGCACATTCAAATGTAAACTATAATGCGAGGCAGAACTAGTGACATTTTCCGACCACAGTCCAAATAACGGGACACTTGTCGCAATTTCATGAATCAACACACATGTTTAATGAATTCAATTCCGATGCGGGATGATTTTTCATTTTTCACCTGCGCATAAAAAAGATACAGACATTTTTTTTATCAAACAATTTAATTTAAATTCAAAGATGACAAAGAAAATAACCATTCCAAAGAAAAGCCACAAATGTGAAAGTTCACCTCGTTTTAAAAGAATGAAATTGCCGAAAAATCATGTATTTTCTCTCATAATATGTTATATTCATGAGATTGTCACCGTGCTTCACTATATCGATTGAATTTCGTTTTTTTCTCCACATTTTGTTTGTCAAAAAGATGAAGAATAATGGAATAGTTTGACTTTAAATTCACATTGTCGGCCACAATTGCACATCGTTCAAATCATACACACAGAGTTTGCTATAACGGCTATATTTGCGATTATCCGGCAATTCGTATTACCATTGCACACATCGTGTGCATATAAAATACACTGCTTTTTACCAATGTTCATTAAGACAAGGATGCTCGAATTTGTCGATTTGTGACGCAAATTGTGTACAATCCGACTTTATTCCAAAGTATTTCAATGCTTTCCATAAAAAGTTTATCACAAAATCAAAAAGTCTAAGAATTTTTCTTGAGAAAAAAGACTTTTCTTGGGAAGTGCGATATTGTTGTGATCTCTTGAATTTTGTTGAGTCAAATTTCGTGTTAATCTATCGGCCAAGGTCGGCGAAGAGCATTTGGTCAAAGCAATCTATAGTAATAATAAAAAGAATTACATTGGTAATCCCGAACTTTTCCGTACCGTTGGCTTGCGTTGTCCGTAGGTACTTTTGGTTATTTTTTGTGAATTTTCTTGATTTAAAGGCAGCGAAAATATAATAATAAAAATAAAGTGAAAAATCGGTCACTTTAACTAAAACTTCGACAATTTTGTATGGGAGGTACCCGTTAATCGATTCTGATTGGCTTCAAACTTTCTGAGGTTTCATTTTTTGGAGAAAAAATAAGATTCTGAAAGTTTCATGTTGATCGCATTTGCAGAAGTTTGATTTTTTGTCCTCAATTTTTGTCGAAATTTTCTTGGAAAAAATTGATTGATCAAAATGAAACTTTCAGAATCTTATTTTTTCTCCAAAAAATGAAACCTCAGATAGTTTGAAGCCAATCAGAATCGATTAACGGGTACCTCCCATACAAAATTGTCCAAAAACCGGTAATTTTAGTCAAAATTTCAAAAAATGTGTATGGGAGGTACCTGTAAATCGATTGGTTTCAAACTTTCAGAATCTTATTTTTCTCCCAAAAAATCAAATCCCAGAAAGTTTGAAGCCAATCGGAGTCGATTTACGGGTACCTCCCATACAAAAGTGTTAATTTTTTGAGGTTTTTCTTAGGGCAAGTACCCCAGGATCAAATCGAAAATGGCTCATCTTCGAACTTAAACTAAGTTTTTTGAATACAAAACTTTTGGCATTTCCAGATTTTGATTATCTCAATAATTTTTTGAGTTATCGTGTTAACACACACCAACGACAACGACGACGACGACGACGACACACGAACGGAAAAGTGTCTCAAAAAGTGGTTTTCTACGCGTTTCATGAGTTTTTATGATGATCTAAACCAATTTTGCGAAAAAAGATTTCGGGACCAATTCCTATAGGATATATATACTTTCCCTTGACACGTTGTGTACGGAAAAGTAATCGAATACTTATTTAGACATTTTAAATATATCTTGAGTTAAAGAAAGCAATTTCCTCAATAAACTGTGAACGGAATGAAATGAAACAAGAAATAAAAATTGTGCAAAAAGCAAAGGGAGAAATTCGGTTAGAGTTTGAAACATTTGGTCATCACTTGGCTTCGAGG